TAAAGAGAACAATTTGTTGCCTGAAAGCAATGTTTAATTAAAAAAAACAAAACTATGAGGTGGGTTTTGCTTTGTTTTGTTTTGTTGCAGTACTAAAAATTGAACTCAGAGGCACACTACTGCTGAGCTACATTATTTTCTTTAAATTTTAAGACAGGGTCTCAAGAAATTGCCCAGACTGGCTTCAAACTTGCCATTCTCCTACCTCATGCCCCCAAATAGCTGGGATTATAGGCATGTGCTGCCATACCCGACTACGAAGTGGTTCTAAAAGAACAAATGAACCAGCATAAAGAGGCTTCCATGTGTCAAACTGTCACAGTTTGACTCAAAAGAATAAAAAGAGTTATATCTAATTAAATGATTTAGCTACGACAGTAACAAAGCTCGTAAGTCCATACTGTTGTTCAAAGTAGAACAGAATTTAAAATTGTTTTATGATCAAAGTATTGTTTTGAGTTACCTTTAGCAGTTAATTTTAAGTATATTTTTATGACATGGAAGCCTTTTCTTTTGCAAATGCTATAGTTACTGCTATCATCTTCTACAAGATTTTTCTTAGAAGAAAAATATGCTTATTGAATGGTGACAGAAACACTGATGTATTAGAACAGTTTGTTAAAAATTCTGTAAAGCTTTATATATTTCACAACACCTCACTGCCACACCTTTACAAGTTAGCTGGTATTCAGCTGGTAGGCTCCATGGGCTAGGTTAGATGTATAAGACTGTTCCTTTCTTGTTTTTGTTAATGCAATACCAGCTGTTAAATGTTTTAAACATCACACATGGATAGACCATGGAATTTTCTTTCATAACTAAATGGGTATACACTAATACACAGCTTTGTGTATTAGATAACTTTTATTTGGTTATTATAAGACATTAATAATTAAGAGTATATAGGCTTTAGTGAAAAGCCTCTATATTGTTTCAGTGCACAGAGAGTTCCTGGCCATTAACTTGAATAAACTAAGACTCAATCCATATCTTGTATATTTCATCCCCATATAATTTAATCAGAGCTGCATTGTGCAATGGTCATAAAAATACAACTTGAAGATCTAAAAACTTGACCATCACGCTAAGGATAATGAGCTGCTCTAGCTTTTCGCCAAATTGGTATCTTCATCATCTGTTTGTAGAATTGTTCGTAGGCTTAGTCTTGGTTATCTAGCGGCTGAGCTTGAAGTGAAAACTACTAAAATGAAAAGACTCTGTTGAACACCTCTCTTAAAGAGAAAACTAAAAAAATTTTTCTAATTATTACTTCAGAATACAAATGACTTTAATACTACTAAATTTTGGTCTCTCATGGACTAGACAGTACTGAGAAGTCCTGCTTGATATAATGAAGGTAATAACAATTAGATAGCCAGGGGCTGGGGTTGTGGCTCAGTGGCAGAGCGCTTGCCTAGCATGTGTAAAGCAATGAGATCTATTCTCAGCACTGCATATATAAAGGTCCATTGACAACTAAAAAAAATTTTAAAAAATTAGCCAGATATAAGCATTACCTATCATAAACTAGACATAGTACCCTCTAAATTGTAGAACAGTTTATACTCCTGTATGTATTATTAGCATCAAATTTTTTATTTTTATTTATTTTTAAATATTTATTTTTTAGTTGTATACAATACCTTTATTTTGTTTATTTATTTTTATGTGGTGCTGAGGATTGAACCCAGGGCCTCGCACATGCTAGGCAAGCGCTCTACCGCTGAGCCACAACCCCAGCCCCCAATTTATTTTATTAAGGGACACCACATAATAGCAATTATGATCAGGTTTTCACAAAACACACTCTTGAATAAGTAAAGAAAAAATTGCATTCTCTTTAATAAGACATTATTCTACATATCCATTCAGATATGAATTATTTTTCTTTTTTTTTAAACTTTGTTTATTCATTTTTATGTGGTGCTGAGGATCAAACCCAGTGCCTCACATGTGCGAGGCAAGCATTCGGCCACTAAGCCACAACCCCAGCCCCTGAATCATTTGTCTTATGGAAGAAAAATTAGAAAGCTGAAGATTGTCATGAAATTACATCAGAAGGAATGTAACTTTTCCTATGGTTGAGACTTTATAATTTATATAATAGCATGACTTATTGCTCAAGAAAACCTAATTCTAGTATTAATAATTTACCAATATGAAACAGTTATATTGACTATTGATTATGTGTTATTGAACAGGATTGCTAAAGAATGTAGATAAGCAGTACATAATGTATGTGTAGCCAGGCCTGGGGATACACACCTGTAATCCCAGTGACTCAGGAGGCTGAGGCAGGTTCAGGGACAGCCTTGTCTACTTAATGATACCCTGTCTCAAAATTTTAAAAAATATAAAAGGCTGGGGATATAACTCAGTAGTAGAGCACCCTTAGGGTTCACTCCTCAGTACTGCAAACACACGCGCGAGCACACACACACACACACACACACAAATACATCAGGAAGGAGAAATTTTGGAAATAATAAATTCAGGTTTAAGAAAGTTCATGTTTGGGTATAATAAACTCCTAAATGACAACAAGTGGAGAAAAGCTTGTAATTTCATCTTTAAGAAAACAATTTGCTTAAGTAGTATTTCTTAAACAACTGACACTGTTAAGCCAGAAAGCTAAGAAGTTAGAATGCTTGAGAGTTGAACATAGCAGACACAAAACTATGAATTTCTGTTGAACTTTTAAAGAAAATATTGAGACTTTGTTTATAATTCTGTGGGAAATAATGAGAAAAACATTCCTATGATTACTTTTTAGTGCATTCTCATATGTACCACATTGGTGGGGAAATTTTTCACAATTCTTCTTTACTTGTGAGGTATTGCAAATGGAGGCCAAATTAGATATATTTAAAATTCAAATTAGCTTATTTAAAAGTAAAGCTCCAGGAACAAAAAAAGAAGGAGGAGGAAGAGGAGGAGGAGGAGGAGGAGGAGGAGGAGGAGGAAGAGAAAAAGAAAAAAGTAAAGCACCAAGCTAAGTTTGTGGGTGGACCCTTCCTGATTCATAGCAATGGGAATGGCAGAGGAAGTTACATAAGAGAATGGTGGCTTACAGTGACCCTTTTCCTCAGATAACAGTGAACGCATCCCTGAAAAAAATAAGTGGAAGGTTTTAACATTTTCTCACTATTATTTTTTGCTTTTGAAAATGGTAGAAATTCTGAGTCAAGAAATGGCTTTCCAATATGTATTAGAGACACACTAAATGAAGTAGTATAAAATTGTTCTTATTTCTTAGTTCTTCTTCCTATAATGAGACTTGGCCCTGAATTTTAATCTTTGACTTGGAATTGACTAATTTTATCATCTTGTACAATCTTTTCAAATCCCACTTTCTTAATTTCATAAATGGATAGGATAATATTTATTTCACAGAGGTGCTATGAAGATTAAAAGGGATAATGTGGGATAAGTGGTCAGTGATTGATATTACCTTTCACCACCCCTTCTAACTTGCAGTACTCATGACAACACTTCTCTTGAGTAGGGTTTTGTTTTTGTTGCTTTTTTTTTAAACATTTCATCCCCAAATGGAAAAACAAAAATAAATCAAACAGATAAAAAACTTGGGCTCAGGAAAGTTAAATCATACAACTGGTCAATGACAGATAATGGATCTGAGGCCTGTCGGACCCTAAAAATCTGCTTGTACTATTATGTTGTATCCCACTCTTCATTTAAAACATAAACAAAACAAAACAAAATCTTCATATGCATAGCATAATTTAGCAATAATACCAAAGCAACGTATGCCAGGAGTCTGCTGCTAGAGGGAACTGACTCAAATTTCTGGCTTCCACTTTATCCTCTCTTAATGAACTTCTCTTCTCCTCTAAGGTTATGGCCTCTTTGCACTCAATGGTAGTGCTTTCCCAGCATGCTAGAGGCATAGGTTCTGTTCCCGAGCACTGAAAAACAAATTTCTTTTGTATTCAGATGTCAGCCCCAGAGAATCTGGAGGGAAAACAGAGGTTAGAGGTTCTATCGTAATTTCCTGGTGGCTTTGAACCAAGAATCTTTTTGTATTGCTGTTGACAACATTAAGCTTTCCTTTCATTATTTAAGTGTAACTGATGTGATTCTGCAATCTGTATATGGGGTAAAAATGGGAGTTCATAACCCGCTTGAATCAAAGTGTGAAATATGATTTATCAAGAACTATGTAATGTTTTGAACAACCAACAATAAAAAATTAAAAAAAAAGAAGTTAAGTTTTTGGTTTTAATATTTCTAAATATCCCTTCTACAAATTGGAATATAAAGAAGGGAAATTTTGGCACTCTTGATTTCCACATGTTTGCCAAAATCTCAAGTTGTTGAATAAACGAAACATTATTTTTGATTTTGGCAGTCACACTCACATAAAAAAAAGCCTCTTGATATCAGATTTACTGGCATAAATATTCCCAGATATATACTTTTTTTCCTTTCGTAATGCCATATTTCCCTATAATAATTTAATTCTTTGACAAAGCTGAACTTTTCACAATTGAAAATCATGCATCTTCCAAGAAGTTAGTTGCAAGCTGTTTCTATAACCCTTGATCAGAAGTGGCAGCTCCCATTTCTCATCTCTTTCCTGACTTTCAGCCTGGACTATTTCATCCCCTAAGTGAAAGTTTGCCTCAAAATTCTTTCCTCTATAAATGCAAAGGGGGAAAAAGTTACATTCTGGCTATGGATATTATAAGCCAAACAGTGATGACAAAGAGATAAACATTTAGGTTGCTGAGAAATTCTATAAAGACTAATCTTTTTAGGTAATTTATTAATAATTTTACAGATAATCCAGACGAAAGCAAAATGGAATTATAAGTTAATAGCAATTGTTATCAACTTTTACTTCTATTAGCAATAATAATAACAACAAATCAACCTAATAATTACTTTGCCAAAATAAACAACAGTTCTTCCATGGCTTCTAAGATCTTTCTTTGCAAAACCTGGATAAAATTCTCCCACAATTTGGGTTTCAGTCTTACCTTGTGATTTTGTTTTGATTTCTCCCCTGAACTGCTACAGTCTTTTCTCTACTGTTCAGAGAGCCTGCAAACTCTTTTTATTACCCAATGTTTGGCAGAGAACCAAATGGCCTTAGAAGGAACATCTGGGGGATGAGATTTTAGCCAGTCTTTAATCACATTTAGAGAGTCAATAAAGTTACTGTCAGCATCTTAGATTCACTTCCCGGCTCCATCTGACTCAACACCCCATTTCTGAAAGCAGCCATCTTTATCTTGGGACACCTTTGTAGTCATCTTTAGTTGGGGCAAACTAAACTAGCTTGGAACACTGTAAGGATGGCCTTAGGCCTTAGCCTAAGCAACTCCAATTTAAGACTCCATCTTAAAATAAACCTGTAGCTTCACCAGGCAAGCCATAGAGCCCTCTGATATATCAATCAGGCATAGCCTGATAAAAGCAAGTCACTTTCCACAACCATGACAAGAATCTGGGTGAAGTGACATGTCATTTTTCATAACCCTGATAAGAGCCAGAAGGGTATCAGGGCAGAAACCACCAGACCATATGTTTTCTTTCACATGTAAGATGTCACTAAGAAAACTGGTAACAGCTGATAGGGACCCAAAGGGCAAGCAGAAGCTTCCAAATTTTGTATGAATAATTGAACAAGTGAACATTCAGCCAGCTGAAACTGATGTACACAAGCCTGGGAGCCTGATGAGGACCTGGACTGACATCCCAACTCTTCTCATCTGCCTGATCCTCTGCGTCATCCTTACCACTCTCAAACTCTACAGCAGCCTCTTGACTCTGGTGAGAAAAGGACTTCTCCTTATGACCGTCTCCTCAGCCAGCCGTCAACTCACCACAGGAGAATCCTCTATTGGTTTCTGACCTGGTCGCTGTGGTCTGAGTGAGTGTGCATCTGCTGGACTTAAGATCTAGGACTTAAGACTTTAAATCTAGCACTTAAGCTTAGCATGCAGATGGAATGTCTGTAATTGGTCTGTCATGATTAAGTGTGTTTGCAGTGCTTAGAATTAACTTAGAATTGTTTGCTTTGAGTTTATTGTTTATTGCAATGCCCAGCATTAAGGATTGTCATTCCTTGATTAAGAACCTGTAGAATGAAATTGTATTAAGTGATTTGAGTAAATAAAACATTGAAAAGGGCAGAAGCGCGTGGACATTCTTTATCTCGCCCCTCAACTGCAGATGTTGCACTTTTGCCCATCACGAGAAACACCAGCTGGGGCTTAGAAGCAATATCAAGGTACAGAAAGTCCCCAACTCTCCCCTTCCCTGGCAGCCGTTAACCTGGCACAGTGCCTGCTGCTACTCAACCAGAACATAGCTTGCAAAACCAGGTCACAAAACCCAGTTCTGAACTGCCCAAAATAAAATAGCTGTCTGTGACAGGAGTGCAGCCCCCAGAGCACAGCCCACAAGACCTCTGGAGAGAAGGTCTTGATTGGGAAGTAGAAAGGGATGGCATGAGTGAGATACAGTTTAAAGACTAAATTAGAGACCAGGAATTGCAAGGTGTACAGACAATATAAGGAGATAAGACCAGCTGTCCACATCACAGGAGTGGGCCCTAAAGGAGATCCTTAGACCAACCCTCCCACCCTAATAAACTTCATCATCCTGAGGATGGAGATGCCAGCAAACAACAGACAACCCCACTTATTGGATGAGAAGGGAAGCTAGAAAGATACAAAAACAATCCTTGTATCTTTCGAGATTTTTTTTCCCTCTCTCTTCTCTTGCCCTCACATTCCCAACATTTGTGAAATCAAGTACTTTACATGGATTAAGGTACAGAGCACTGAAATGTCTGAATAGTATAGTATAGTGGTATTGTATATTCTTTTACCTCCTATTTTTACATATTTTGCTTTTCTTAATATTTATATTTGCTTGTTTTGTACTCTACTATCTTCCCACTTATTTGCCTCCCCCAGATCATTTTTTCTCTCCTGCTACTAACCAACTTCTTTAGATTCTTCTTTCATAATTTCTAAGATCTAATAACTCTATATCCTCACCTCCTAGCCTCTCAACATCTCATCCTACATCTCACCCCCCATTCTTTGTCCACCATCAGAAACTGTAGTCCCTTTTGCAAACCTACTATTTATATTGTAGATAACAATTGAACTTACCATTTCTGTATTTTGTGACAAAACCATAAGCATCTTAATAACAGCTATTTGGTTTAAGGTTGTGTATTGTTTGTATTGGGATCTGTTCACACTGTTCTCCCTCTTTTTTTTTAATTTTTTATTGTTGGCTGTTCAAAACATTACATAGTTCTTGATATATCATATTTCACACTTTGATTCAAGTGGGTTATGAACTCCCATTTTTACCCCATATACAGATTGCAGAATCACATCAATTACACATCCATTGATTTACATATTGCCATACTAGTGACTGTCATGTTCTGCTACCTTTCCTATCCTCTACTATCCCCCCTCCCCTCCCCTCCCCTCCCCTCTTCTCTCTCTACCCCCTCTACTGTCATTCATTTCTCCCCCTTGTATTATTTTCCCCTTTCCCCTCACTTCCTCTTGTATGTACTTTTGCATAACCCTGAGGGTCTCCTTCCATTTCCATGCAGTTTCCCTTCTCTCTCCCTTTCCCTCCCACCTCTCATCCCTGTTTAATGTTAATCTTCTTCTCCTGCTCTTCGTCCCTACTCTGTTCTTAGTTACTCTCCTTATATCAAAGAAGACATTTGGCATTTGTTTTTTAGGGATTGGCTAGCTTCACTTAGCATAATCTGCTCTAATGCCATCCATTTCCCTGCAAATTCTATGATTTTGTCATTTTTTAATGCAGAGTAATACTCCATTGTGTATAAATGCCACATTTTTTTATCCATTCATCTATTGAAGGGCATCTAGGTTGGTTCCACAGTCTTGCTATTGTGAATTGTGCTGCTATGAACATCGATGTAGCAGTGTCCCTGTAGCATGCTCTTTTTAGGTCTTTAGGGAATAGACCGAGAGGGGGAATAGCTGGGTCAAATGGTGGCTCCATTCCCAGCTTTCCAAGAAACCTCCATACTGCTTTCCAAATTGGCTGCACCAAAACAAATCTTTACTCCTCACACTTCAGATAGAGCCCTAATATCCAGAGTATACAAAGAACTCAAAAAATTAGACAATAAGATAACAAACAACCCAATCAACAAATGGGCCAAGGACCTGAACAGACACTTCTCAGAGGAGGACATACAGTCAATCAACAAGTACATGAAAAAATGCTCACCATCTCTAGCAGTCAGAGAAATGCAAATCAAAACCACCCTAAGATACCATCTCACTCCAGTAAGATTGGCAGCCATTATGAAGTCAAACAACAACAAGTGCTGGCGAGGATGTGGGGAAAAGGGTACACTTGTACATTGCTGGTGGGACTGCAGATTGGTGCAGCCAATTTGGAAAGCAGTATGGAGATTTCTTGGAAAGCTGGGAATGGAGCCACCATTTGACCCAGCTATTCCCCTTCTCGGTCTATTCCCTAAAGACCTAAAAAGAGCATGCTACAGGGACACTGCTACATCGATGTTCATAGCAGCACAATTCACAATAGCAAGACTGTGGAACCAACCTAGATGCCCTTCAATAGACGAATGGATAAAAAAATGTGGCATTTATACACAATGGAGTATTACTCTGCATAAAAAAATGACAAAATCATAGAATTTGCAGGGAAATGGATGGCATTAGAGCAGATTATGCTAAGTGAAGCTAGCCAATCCCTAAAAAACAAATGCCAAATGTCTTCTTTGATATAAGGAGAGTAACTAAGATCAGAGTAGGGACGAAGAGCATGAGAAGAAGATTAACATTTAACAGGGATGAGAGGTGGGAGGGAAAGGGAGAGAGAAGGGAAATTGCATGGAAATGGAAGGAGACCCTCAGGGTTATACAGTGGAGGGGGTAGAGAGAGAGGAGGGGAGGGGAGGGGAGAGGTGGGGAGGGGGGAGGGTGGAGGATGGGAAAGGCAGCGGAGCACAACAGACACTAGTATGGCAATATGTAAATCAATGGATGTGTAACTGATGTGATTCTGCAATCTGTGTATGGGGTGAAGGTGGGAGTTCATAACCCACTTGAATCAAAGTGTGGAATATGATATGTCAAGAAATTTGTAATGTTTTGAACAACCAACAATAAAAAATTAAAAAAAAAAGAAAATGCCTAGCATACAGAATAAGGAGAGAATTTTAAAAGCTACAGGAGAAAGGAATCAGATTAATATAGGGGAAAACCAATAAGGATATCTGCAGATTTTTCAACCTATATCCTGAATGCTAGAAGATCCTGGAACAACATATACCAAACTCTGAAAGAAAATGGATGCCAACCAAGAATCTTATAGCCAGCAAAATTAAGGTTTAGATTTGATGATGAAATTAAAAACTTCAATGATAAACAAAAGTTAAAAGATTTTACAACTAGAAAGCCTGCACTACAGAATATCGTTGGCAAAATATTCCATGAGGAGGAAACGAAAAACAACAATGAAAATCAGCAAAGGGAGGTATTACACTAAAGGAAATACTAATCAAGTTAAATACCAAAAATAAACAAATATGGCTGGGAATACAAATCATGTCTCAATAATGATCCTGAATGTTAATGGCTTAAACTCACCAATCAAAAGACATAGACTGGAAGACTGGATCTAAAAAAAAAAAGCCCCAACAATATTCTGCCTTCAAGAGACTCATCTCATAGGAAAAGACATCTACAGACTAAAGTTGAAAAGTTGGGGAAAAAACATACCATTTACATGGACTGCAGAAACAAACAGGCATTTCCATCCTCATGTCAAATAAAGTAGACTTCAATCCAAAGTTAATAAAAAGGAATAAAGAAAGATACTTCATACTACTTAAGGGAACCATACATCAACAAGACATAACAATTATAAATATATATGCCCCAAACAATAGAGCATCTACATTCATCAAACAAACTCAAGTTTAAGAATCAAATAGACCACAACACAATAATTCTGGATGAGTTTAACACAACTATTTCACCACTGGATAGATCTTTCAAACAAAAGCTGAACAA